AATTGGCATTTCTGTTTCGGGGTCTAGATTCTGCCTGATTACCTCCAAAGCCTCGATCTTTGATTTCATTGTCACTTTCACTGGGAAATATTGCCGCACAGGATCCATGATCATTTTTAGATGTTCGATCCCAAGAAGTTCACTTGTGTTGTACTTTGGGAGGTCATACTGAAAAAGAAGAAAAAACACACCAGTCAGAACCGACCAAAATGACAGAACCGACTAGAATAGACTAAGAAACCAACAAGAACTGACTGAACCGACCATGACCCGACCCAAAATCCCCGCAGAACCGACCAAACAGATAGAACCGACCAAAATTGAACAGAACCGACCAAAACCGAACAGAACCGACCAAAACTGACCTGAACTGACCACCAACCGACCAAGAACCGACCAAAACCGACCATACTCGACAAGAACCGACTAAGAACCGACCACCAGAAACGACTTAAAACCGACTGAGAACAGACCAGAACCAAAACTGACTAAGAACCGACTATGAACAGACCAATGTTGCTTATATTAAGTTTGTGTTCTTGCAAAAATATATAAGAAAAAGTAAAACAAGAATATTACCTCGGCAGATTCCGTTGCCTCGTCGACAACTGTTCGGGAAATGGCCGTTTTAGTTGAGGAAGAAGAGCTGGTTTTTGATGCCATTTTAGTCAGATTTTGGTGAGCAGGTGGTCGGTTTTTGTGGTCGGGAATTTGGTGAGTGGTCGAGGTCGGTTTTTGGTCGGTTTTAGTGGGAACGGAGTCGGTTTTTGATGAACGATCGGTGTTTGGTGAGGTGGTCGGTCGGCCGAGATGAGAGAGATCGGAGAGTGGATCGGAGAGAGAGAGAGAGAGAGGGGGAGGGGAGAGGAAAGCCGGCGGTCGGGGAGTTACTGATCGGAGAGAAAAGCCGGCGGTCGGCGAGAGGTGATCGGAGAGAAAAACCGGTGGTCGATCGTGAGAGAGCTCAGTCGGGGGAGAGATGGTCGAGCGGTCGGTTTCGGGGGGAAGAGAGGGTCTAGCGGCGGTCGGTTTTGTGAGGAAATGAGATTTTTGAAAATGACCTAGGATTAATATGACCCATTTTTTGCCACGTAAGATACACGTCATTATTTTTTTGTTATAAAAAAAAATTGGCCTATTTCCTCAGATTCTAATTTTCTCCGGTCTCTTTTATCAAATTTTCTCCTTCTGGAGTCTTCTATCGTTGGCTTCTGGAGCCGTTTCCTCATCTTTGTGTCTTCTTCATTTTTTTTTTCCGCCCCAATTGCTTCTCTCTTCATTTGGTTTCTTTGATTCCATTTGGCCACAAGTGAACATCCATGGTTTATGTGATATTTGTTCTGGGTTCTTTGATTTTTTTCTTGCGGGATTTTGGCTTGATTTTTGGATGGTTTTTTGCTTCGTTTTGCTGTTTTCGCCTGATTTTTGGATGCTTTTTTACTTTGTTTCGCTGCAGGTTTTTTGAAAATTTTTCTTGCATGTTTCTTTCTTGGTCTGATTTGCTCATTTAGTTTGGTTTCCTCTTTATTTTTTTGTCGAGTTTCCCCTTTATTTTTTTGTCGAGTCCATGTTCTGCTCATTTCTGCCTTTTTCTCTTTTTTTTTTCCTTTTTTTTTGGTTGGGTAAATATTTTCTTGCATGTTTCTTTCTTGGTCTGATATGCTCATTTAGTTTGGTTTCCTCTTTATTTTTTTGTCGAGTTTTCCCTTTATTTTTTTGTCGAGTCCATGTCCTGCTCATTTCTGCCTTTTTCTCTTTTTTTTTTTTTTCCTTTTTTTGGCTGGGTTTTGTCTTTGTCGGTTTGATTTGCTCATTTAATTTACTTTTCTCTCTATTTTTGGTCGACTTAATGTTATGTTTTTTTCTTTTCATTTTTTTTTCTTTTTTTGGTTTTTGTTTCAATGGCTGGTTTCTTTTGTCATTGCCATGCTTCAAGAGATAATTTTTTTTCTGCTTTTATTCTGGTGATTTTTCCTTTCTTTTTGTTTGCTATTCACTTTTGTCATTGATCTATTTCAGGAGATAAATTTGTGTAGAAAGAAGGTTCTATGAGTGTCTTTTGATATTCTTTGTTGCTGACTTCACCTGATATACAAATAAGTATCGATTTTTTTATTTTGCATTGATTAATTTGTTGATCTGTGATATCTAGACTGCTGATTTGGCTACTTAGGTTGATGATTTGTACCCAAATTGTTGCAGACACATTTACTTAGGTTGATGATCTGTACCTTAAACATATATTCTTTTGCTCTGGATTCATTAATTTGTTGATCTGTGATATCTAGACTGCTGATTTGGCTGCCTAAATTAATGATCTGTACCCATATTGTTGTAGACACATTAACTACTTAACTTGATGATATGTACCCATATTATTGCAGAAGCATTAAATGAACTGTTTCTTTTTTTTTTATTGTTAGTTAATTTCTGAAATTTGTGAAAAATCTGAAAAAAAAAATTTTGAAAGCTTTTCCTTTTTGTTTTTGTTTTTGTTTTTTTTTTCATTTTTTCCCTTTTTTGTGTTTCCTGAACTCATTATTATCTATCTATTATTTGGTTTTTGCTTCATATACCCGTACATTGCTTCTACCACCTGATTAAGCAATCTTACTTCCTTAATTCTTACAGACCGACTTTCTTTTGCTACGTGTCCTCTTATAAATCATGTACTGTTGAAATTTTTTCCCTCATTTACTCTTTATAAATACTTCTGCTATATCAACATTTTGTTATCTATTTGTCCCTTGCTCTCCCGAGACTTTGCTTTGTCTCCTTCATATTTCATCTCACGTTATTTACTACTCTGCTACATTCTCAATCATTGATTGCTCTTTCTATTCCTGTTCTTCTCCCTTGCGCTTGATTTTTAATCCTTTGCATTTCATCTTCGATTATTTATTACTCTGCTTTAATCCTACTCACTTACTACTCCAACTTCCTACCTTTGTATTTACTCACTTTCTTTGCTGGTTTTTGACTGGTTGCTATTTCATATTTAAGGCAGCGTTTATAATGCTCCAGGTATTACTTATAACCTTTGCCTATAGCCATTCACTATTTGTTAATCTATGTCTACTTTTTTCTTTTATTCTCTTTTCTTTACATCATAATTATGATTGGGATGGATTTTGACATCTTGAACTTTATATAAACAATCCGAAAACAACTGTGATTGGGTTTATCTCACTTCCTCTTCTTATTCCCTGTAAAGCCGAGAATTGAAACCTGTCCAACTTAGAAAGAGAAAGGCATTCTTGGTTGTTTGTGTAAGTGAACGTTGCTCCATCTACAGGTAAATCCACCAACTGAATTTAGCTTCCAGGTTGATTTCAGTACCACTTATTTCATCCTAATTTTTTGATGACTTTAACTTAGTTTGGTCTATTGGTCCTTTTTTCCTGTTGGTGTCAAGATTTTATCTTAGTTTTAATTATTGGTTGTTCTATTCTTATTATTTCAGTTAGGAAACTGTCTTCATATCGTCTTTCTTCTCTCTTTTTACTTGCTCTAACATTTTTTGCTTTTTGGCTTTTTGGTTTCATCTTGGCATATTTACTACTCATTCTTTTAAGCTGGCTCTACCTAATTTCTGTTTCATTGGCTCATACTCACTATTTCAGGCAATATTCCTTACAGGTACTTTTACTAACTCTTGCCCATATTTTCTTCATTATCACATACGCATATATCTGTACACATTTTTGCTTAATATATTTAACCCTTACTTGGTTTTGTATATGACAATGATACTTACAATTAAATTTGATCTCTTGACCTCTCTATAGTCGGTCCAAAATTTGTTGACAAGAAATGCCACTTACTCATATTGAGTAAAATGATTTAAATGTTTCTTTAAATAGATTATAAAATCAGTTACAGTTACATTACTTAGGCAAATAATTTTATATTTTCTTTATAATTGCTGAAGCAATCTTATGTTTAATAATATAATAAAAAACGTTAAGTTGAATTTATATAAAAATTTCAGATATTAAATTAACTCTTTATAAACAACTAAAATTTTGATAGTTTTTAGCTTAAGATAAAAATTTTAATTATAAACTTATATTACTTACTGCAAACTA